GGGGACTGAGGCGCAGCCGGGCGGCGAGCGACCGCGTCCCCCGCGCTGGAGAGGAGGCACCGGGGCGCCCTGCACAAGGCGGCCCTGCACCAGATTGAGGGAGTTTCTCTCCCACGCCTTATTTCTCCCCCACCTTAGACTGGTTGAGCACTTTGGCACCTCTAGAGACACTTGAAGGATGAAAGATTAATAAAATATAGCTAGGATTTAGTGAGCCACAAGGCCCCCGGAAGGTCTTTGCTCCATCAGTTTTACCCTACAATTTGGCAACATCCTTATCAATGTGCTTAGATGTCTGGGCCATACTGAAACTAGGCCTTGCCGTGCAAGCAGTCAAAGCCCAAGAAAGGGCTGGAGTTACGTACAGGTAGAGCTATACTGATATTTAGTCAATATTTATTTGTAAGAGAGAAAGCCTGTTGTGAAATTAAGTAATTCTAGTTCAGTCCCCAGAGACAAAACAAGGGCAGTAGTTCAAAAACATGAAAATTAACAGTTAACACTCCACAGAAAAAGAGATGATGATGAACACACTTTAATTAAGAAATACAACCATTGTCACATTATGTCTTTGAACATGAATTCAGTATTCCCACCACCTAACTTCCACATTCCACCATGAGAAAGGAAAAAAAAATGGTAGTCTTTAATGCTTACATAATTTCCAAGAAGCAAAATATTAGTGAAGAGAGTAGCATCATTTTACTGTTCTAGGAAGTTAGTGCTATTTGCAAGAAAAGGGATTATAAATAAATATATCCGGACATTAGGGGAGGGGAAAAAAAAAACCCTAGATCCAGAGTGTTTCACAGAATTAATGCTTTCAAACAGTACTTCAACCCAACAGGAGGAGAACCAGTTACTGAAGGTTTCATTTTACACTGAAGGACATTTGAAATAAGAACGTCTTGACATCGGACAAGTAATTATACATGTACATATATTTTCACCCTTTAAAACAAATTGCATTTATAGTGTTTGATTCCCTTACACCCAGGCACAAATTTTGCTAGCTTCTCTTTTTTTTAGTGAGATTGTGCAATGCTGGAGCAGTAGTCTAAAATATCTTGTATAGTGAATTCCATAGTAATTCCTGATCCAGGATAGCAGCGAGCAATCAGCCCTTCAAAGTGCTTGTACTGACGTATAAACTCATCTTGCATAGAATGCCACACAACCTGCCAAAGAAACCAGACTTTAGAAACTGCCATCTGGCACCACGCGCAGCTCATTAACTGATTCTTAGCACAGAGAAGGCAATATATGAAAAATAAAGTTTGTCAACAGCGAGGTACAATAAACTGAGTTGTATCATTAGCAAAAATTAGTTTTTACCCAATATATGCTGCTATACAGTAGCAACTAAATTTCTGAATCACATTAGTGGTTCATTTAAATCCTCTTCACTCCTTTTCCAGCATGTCCCACAAAAAGGGGAATTAGGAAATCATAAAACAAGTTTCTGTGACCTCTTTCTCTTTACCATCATAGTTAAAATCAATATGCTAAACAAATAAAATGGCATGGTTTTATAAGTCCAACTCAAAACAGTGTTTCTCAGAATTACTTGGAAGCTAGAAATGTCCTACAAAATATACATGAAAAAGCAGTAATAAAGTTTGTGCAAGTATTACAAGAGATTCAGAATATTCTTTTTAAACCATAATTTAGTTTACCTGAAGTAAATTCTCTTCTTCACAGAGATGTTTGTCTACCTTCTTGTAGAGGTTATCCAATCCCTTCTTCACTTCCTTACCAGGATATTCCTTTATAACTTTCCGAAGCTCTTGTTTATTGAAAGCCAACTGATAACTTACTTCTTCTTCACGTATCCCTTGAGCCACACGAGCTTCAACACCTTCAAAAAAATGCTAATAATGGTATTTATTAGTTTAGATTTCTCATAGTCATTAAGTAGAACTACACGTATGCTTATTTCACGTCCTGTCTTGCTTCGGCTCAACAACATGGCTCCTGTGCACTCTCTCCACTTTTTTTAATTTTTATGGCAATATTGCTCACAGTAAACATCAGAACCCAGCTCACTGATATATCACTCCATAAATACCAATGTAAAACTAAAACTAAACATTTGTAGAAGTAATTAGGCTTCTCTCTGCAACCTTATAACCAATACTGAGCCATTCTCAAACTCCTCAATTAATGAGATCACAGCCTAAAAGAGGGGGGGATTTTTAAAGGATAAACTTGGACAATTCATTTGTATAGGAATGGTCTCTACTTCTCTCTATACCATAATTATATGGCAGCAATTTTAATTCATAATTGCCTTCTTTTCTCACCTTCCTCCAAGTAGGTAGCTGAATTTATCATTAAAAACAAAGGGAAGAAGGCCAAACATCTGTGTAAAGCCACAACATCAACTGAGGTTGGAAGCAGTAATAAGCTATTTAATTCACAAAAAGAGAGTAGGTCTTAGACTTTTTTCTTCTCTCAATCTGTCTCTTATAAATGAGTGTCTGAAAGTAGCAGCAGGCTAAAGTTCTTATAAAAGAAAAAAAAGAAAAAAGCAGTTACCTACTTTCAGCAGGTGGAACTGAAATATTTACAGTCTAAAGCTCAGTCAGCATTTGATGGGGCATATTAGAAGTTTCTTACAAGAGTTATAGCAATTATTATATTTTATTTTGTTTCTGAAACATCCAACATAAACTTCTCTGCAGTTGAGGTGGACAAAGCTCCTGGTTGATCACAAGGACAATAATCTTAGAGGAAAATAACCTAGCTTTTCATAGCAATGGCAGTAGTGATCAATTAATTTAAGTGTCTCAACTGTTTTTAAGGGAGGAAGTGAACATTTAGAGTTCATCTGCTTTACATCATTTAAATATATCAAGCTAAAGTGGAATATACTTGCATTTAATTTCTCAAGAGGCTGTCCAAGTGAGTAGATTACATAAGACTGAAGATGATCAGTATATTTCTGCTTGGCTTCCTTTTTCTCAGACTCAAGACAAGAAATTTTCAAGCGAGAAAGTGTTGCAAAAATATGATGAAAGTTCTCCATCATCACCACATCCCTTGGTGTTTTCTGGCTTTCATTTGCCACTTTCTCAACTGTAAGAGAAAAACAAAACATAGAAAGCTTAAAATACCTGAAGGACAGAAAAGATAAGAAAAAAGAGAGAGCCACAATAATATCACAGGAAGAAATATAGGATTTTATGCCGAAAACAATGATTTATATGATTGCCATAACTATTGTTAAATGAAAGAATATTTGAGAGACAACAAGAGAAGAAACATAAATGTAGTAGTTCTAAGACTACAGACTTTGTTTATCAAAAATAACAGATAGAAAATATTCACTAGTCATTTACATAACAGAAGTTATTAACATATTTTGTGAAGGCTTAAAAGTATGCTTAATTACCTTTTAAAAATTTAATGCAAGAACTACATAAGAAAATACTTTTCACCCTCTTTCTTACAATAAAAATCTTCGCTAATAATTATTTTTTTGTTTATTTCCCCCATTTCTCTTCAGCATTTTTTGCTTAGCGTATTAATTCTATGGTCAAAATTCATTTTCGTTATCAGCTCTGGGCAATGAAAGTGATAGACTTGCATGTGGGCCTATTACTTTGAAACAAGTTCAGGGCAGAAGAGAAGTTCCATGCTATTGCTCCTTCACTGTACCTACACACAGTGGGAGAAGACGACTTCAGCCACAACAAATGCAGCTCGCTCTGCCTGCTCCTCCATTTTCCAGTTTACCAAGGCCACCAAATCCAATGTCTTCCATAAGAATGTTCATTTAGGACACAGCTTCCTGGGCACCACAGTATCAATAAACAGAGCTGACCATTTTGGTCAGATAACCGAAAGGTCATTCGCAAAAATCTGCTACTGCCAATTTGGGTCTTTTCTTCATTCAAACTAAAGTACTACATCTTTCTTTTTCAACGCTGCATTAAATGTATAAAACTGGTGCAAGCAGGAAATTCTATCAGTTCAGTTTGGTTTCATCTTCATTCTTTATATTTCTTTCTTCTTCCTCATCATACCTTGTTCTGCAAGTTAGCTTTGTACTAGTCCAAAACAACTCAAATTCCTTTTGAAACAAGCTTTCCAAATTCTTCTTGTACTAGTTTTTCTACCATTGTATAGTTTTGCTTGTCTCTTGTCTTTGCTTAGTTTTATCACTTGAACTATACCTTCTTAAAGACAGGAATTTCAGGTGCAATCAACACAAAAACATTCCTAAAATTCACTATCCTATTGGTGAGAATGCTACTGCTGACTGTATATGGACTGTGAAGGGATATCTGTTCAGGGTTGAGCAATATGTTCATAAATACTGTTACAGTTTCTCAAATGAGCTTCATTGACACTATTTTGTCCTCTTCCCCTGAAAAAAGAGGCCGGGAACAGACAGAGCTGTTCTAAAGCAGGCAGGCAAACGAGCACAGAGAGATGGACAAAATGATACATAAACAGGTCAGAGGAAAGAATCACTTTTAAGCATAACCACCCCAAAAGACCTACCGCTGACAAAAACAGCTCTGATAAGTTTTATATAGGCTTTATCTAGGTCTCCTCGGCGCTCTGCATTTTTGAAAATTGATTCAGCAAGGCCTGCAAACTCTTCAAATTCAGCAACAAATGGAAGGATCCCAACTTTACTCTTCTTTGAAATTTTTACTTCATCCATCTGTTTCATCTGGTTACTCTTAAATTTTAAACAAAAAGAAGTTAATCTCCAATATATGACTTTGGAACATGCCATGAAAAAAAGTCATACTGAAAAACTGACTGAAAAAAAATACAATCGAGAACTATATAAAGGAAGCAAGAAAAACTCTCTTCTTTTACTGGCTATTTACATAAACGTGTCAACCAGAAGCAAGTAACACTTGGACTTGCTTTCAGGTATTCTAACATGGAACTTTCCTGATTCCAAGCAAAAAGGTTCCTTTTGCTAGAAATTTCTTTAAACTTTTTACTGAAATACTCTACTGAATATTATCCAAGAAAGTCAGTCTCATTCATGCCTGGTTTACTGCCTGAAGTACCTCAATTAGAGTTACTATATTGGCTTAGACTCAAACTATAATAAAATACAAATTTAATAGTTATTCCAGCCAATGTGTTTTCATTAAACTTGCCATATTTCATGCAATGAGCGTATTGTATTAGGAAAAGCAAATTTCCAACAATAGCAGCCACCTCTCCTACCAGCAGAAGGTGTACCATTTTATCTCTATCAGCTTCTTGTTAAATAAGAGAAAAATAAATACATCAGAGATGTTTATTTGGCATATAATAAGGATTTTGCTTTTCCATGAGCGTAAGACTAGGGAGGTTATTTAAGCAAGTCAAAAAGCAAGAGAGCTGGATTCTACTTGACTTACCTCAGTAAATTCAATAAAATTCCAATTTTAAATAAGTAA